CACTCGGCTATTATTGGCAGAGGAGGAGCTTGGCAAACACAGAAATGTCTGTCATGCTGATAGACAGCCAGACCAAAATCCTGACTGCCCCCCCCCCCATTCATTTCTTTTGAATACTCTGTTAATAGGCCTATTTTGCAATTAAAGCTCCTCCAGCACCCCAAATTTTCAACGTCACATTGCAAGGAAGTTACTGGACTACTGGCAACAGTCCCTGCAACACTCAGGCTGAAAAATTAAATAAAAATGAAAGGCTGTAAACTAAGAACAAATCCTACTTAAGATTCTGGCTTGTTAAGAGAACAACAACAAACCAGGGACTCTAGTCCAGGTGTAACACCAATATGTCAGGAACAATCCAGTCCCATAGTCCCACCAACAAACTATGACTAAAGAAGGAGGCAGAAGCCTTATCGCACTTGCTGAATCTGACTTGAACTGAGCCATTGTGATTGAATTTATAGAGGTACAGGTTTGAATTAAAATAGTTGAATCTAAGCCCCAGTATAACCAATGGGTTTGGGGCAGCTAATTCATTCAACTAATGTTGTTTAGAATCATCTCAAAGTCTCTAAAAAACTCCATCAACAATTTTTAAAATCTACTTTTCTTACATCAAAGAATATATCTCATCCAACTGAAATAAAATAATCCCAACACCATATCTCTTATGAATTTGAAAAGAGAAAGGAAAGGAAAAAATGCTTTATTAGCTCTAGAAGTAGATGCTTGATATAATGTTTGCTTTAAGGATTTCCCCTATGATAGCAGCATAATGGGGGCACCACATATACCACTTATAATTCTGCTAGTGTAGTTCTCTGAATTAAGCATTAGATTGTCAATTAATCATAAAGCATTTATATGTGTGTGACATGTATGCTTTGTCGACCTATAATTCAACCTACATCTACTGTAATGCCACTCAATTCAATTCTCAGCACTTTTGCCACGACCACAGTTTAATCATATGAATGGCTTCCAAAGGCTGCAGATCTTGGCCTACCTGTATATCTGAATGCATTTTGCTTCCATACTTATTTGTATGTTACAAAACCAACATATTACACAGGGAAATGTAATAACCACTTATCTCAGATAAGTGGTTAAATTCCCTCAAAGCTCTTCTCTCCAGAACATTTGCTTCCTTAAACACTCTG